AAAAAAAAGAACTTAATAGATCTTGAAATTGATTTTGGTAGCAATTGTACAACAATGCTTGATATGACTGAAGTATGGAATGGCATGACACCTGGATTAGGTCCTAATAAAATGGTTTGGAAAAGAATAAGACAAAGAAAGGGCAGTGGGGGGCAGACAGAGAACCCAATAGAGTGTATTAAGATGCCTAAGAGATTATCTTTAGACAGTGTTTTGATGTTCATAAACGCATTTTACAGATGACAAATTATAGCTCAGAAGGAAGGTCCAAGGCGAGGAAATAGAGCAAGGCCTGCAATGCAGAATGCAGCAGTGGTCTGTTGCTGGGGCTGTTGGGTTGAAGGTTCTTTTTAAACAAAGCAACTTGGTGGTCAAGCTTGCATTTTTTTCTGCTCCAAATGACCATTGGGTTCTTTCTCGAATGAACTGTGGGTTGGGGGCTTTGGAGAAAGGAAAGGAGCCACAGAGGATCCAGTGTGTAGGCATACTGTTGAGGGCAGTGGACCCCATTTGGTTCCTTCCCACATACCCTAGACCGGCCACCAGCCACTCACCGAGCCCATTTCCTGGCCAAGGGCTGCGTTGACCACTCCTTTGAGGATATACTCCTGCAAACATGGAAGAACACGAGTTACACTGAGAGGAATGTCGGGCTACGTACACACATCTTTCAACCAGTTCTTGGTGTCAACTCAACACAGACATATGGTCACAACAGAGACCCAGCTTCACTCTGCCCTGCCCTGGCTGAAATGATAGAATCCAGAGACTTTCGGGTCAATTGAACAGACTACATTACATGTCTGTAATTCTCATTCTTAGGTGCAAATACTTCAGTGGAGATTTCCAAGAGATGGTTTGTTTTCTTTCAATTCACTAAGCAGAAAAATTAACAGCAAAATGTCGATGTAAAATTTCCTATCATCAGCCACCGCCATTCTCTGTGATCAAATCATTCCGTCCTGTGGAAGCCAGCAGTGTAGAGCAGGCTGGGGGCTGCCCTGGGATCCCACCAGCAGCAACGCCTCCAACGGGCTCCCAGGGTGTCCCGGGAGCGCAGCTGCCTCGCAACAGAACCTGCTAGTAAAAGCGCACTCACTCTGACTTACCTGGGGAGTCGTGGGTTCCAGGTCCTTAATTAAGTGATAAGCTTCTTGGACATCATCTGAAATATAAGAAATACGTAGTTGTCTAGGGAGTCCTCCTCCAGCAAACTCTCCTTCAGGACCCAAGCCCTCATGGGAAACAGGACGTTGGTTCTGACCTCTAGCTCTCAAGGACGTTCAGTGTTGAATGGCTATCCTGAAGATCACCCAACGTCCCTAAAAGGTGTGCATGAAACCAGGAGGAGCCTGAAGAACGTTTTCAAGTTAGGAAATATGAACTGGATTCTAAGAACCCAAGAACGAGTGCGACTTTTGTTAGCTGGGATAATAGCACTGGTGTTATAGAAGGAAAAAAAGGTCGCTTTGCCTTTGTTTTCGGCGGCGCGCATGCAAGATGGCGGTGCAGAGTTCCAATAAGAGGCTGACGGCATCTTCAAAGCCAGACTGAATGAGTTTCTCACTCGGGAGCTAGCTGAAGATGGTTACTCTGGAGCTGAAGTTCGGGTTACACCACCAGGACAGAAATCATTCTCCTAGCCACCAGGACGCAGAATGTTCTTGGTGAGAAGGGTCGGAGGATCTGAGAGTTGAATGCTGTCGTTCAGAAGAGACTGGCTTCCCTGAGGGCAGTGTGGAGCTTTATGCTGAAAAGGTGGCCACAAGAGGCCTGTGCGCCATTGCCCAGGCAGGGTCCCTGCACTACAAACTGCTCAGCAGGCTCGCTGTGCAAAGGACCTGCTATGGCGTGCTGCGGCTCATCATGGAGAGCGGGCCGAGAGCTGTGAGGTCGTGGTGTCCGGGACACTCCGAGGACAGAGGGCCAAATCGATGAAGTTCATGGGCAGCCTCATTATCCACAGCGGGGACCCCGTTAACTACTATGTTGACCTGGCTGTGTACCACGTGCTGCTCAGGCAGGGTGTGCTAGGCATCACAGTGAAGATCATGCTGCCCTGGGACCCAAGTGGTAAGATTGGCACTCAGACGCCCCTGCCTGACCATGTGAGTGTCATGGAACCCAAGGATGAAATCCTGCCCACCACACCCATCTCTGAACAGAAGGGCAGGAAGCCAGAGCCGCCAGCCATGCCTCAGCCAGTCCCCACTGCCTAACAGGGTCTCCTTGGCAACTGGATCTGGTGTGTGGATGTTGCTCTGTAAAAAGATTTAATAAACACTCTTTTAAAGACAAAAAAAAAAAAGGTCATTTCAAAAAGGATACATATATATTGTATATACTCTAGTATAAGCCGACCCAAATATCAGCTGAGGCACCTAATTTTACCACAAAAACTGCATTAAAAATGTGCTGAAAAACTTGCTTACACTCATGTATATACAGTATATAATACTTAGTTTGGAATTTGTTTTAAAGTATTCAACAGGTAAAACATATGATGAATATAATTTTGCAACTGCCAAAAATATATATATAAGAATATATATATATATCCTTATGTATATATATATATATGATTGTATGCATATATTCATGTAAGGGCATGGCATGTACACTAGGAACATGCGTGCACAGAGGTGTGTCTATACATATGTATCCAGGCACCTGTGTATGTGCTACATGGGTATTCACATATGTAAAAAGCCACACAGGGGCACAGTGATGGATTCTTTTCGACAGAACCAAACACCGTGTAGGACTGGCATCTTGGGTTTGAAGGCTGCTCAGTCGGCATGCTACAGTCCATGAAGTTTATGCTCCATGTCCTAGTTTGATGACCAATGTCTCTGGGTCTTAGAAGCTTGCGAGCAGCCGTCTAAGCTACTACTGGCCTCTGCTCGTCGACAGCAGAAGGCAGAATGGGAAACCAAAGGCTCGGAGGAGAAAGTGGTCCGCAAGATGAGCATCTACCTCAATGCACATCCACGCTGGCAGGGTTATAGACGTAGATATCACAGGTGGTGCACCCAAGAGTGTTTCCGTTGGGTGCCAAGGAGCTGATGCCGACTCACAGGGCCCCTGAGGGCGAGCAGAGCTAGCCGCGGGGTTCTCCAGGCTGTCCTTTCCAGAGGACACCCAGCACCAGCTGTTTCCCCGGGCGCTGCTGGGGGAGTTTCAACCAAGTACCTTTCAGCAGCCAAGCACGTAACCACTGCACTGCTAGGGCTCCTCCCTAGAGATTGAAACCAACCCAAATCTTGCTGGCGTCGAGACAATTCCAAATCATGGGGACCCAGTGTGACTGACGGAGTGGAAGTAGCCCATAGGTGTCCACAGCTGCAGCCCTGATTTTCGTAAGCGGACGGCCTCATCTTTCTCCAGTGGGGCAGCCAGTGGATTGGCAACTGCTTGGTTGGCAGTCAAGTGTTTGGCCGCTGCCCCACCAGGGACCCTGTTATGCACTCTGACATTTTGAATCTCTAGGTCTGAGCAAGGCCCAGCCAGGCTTTCCTTACCTTGGCAAAGGTAATAAATCACCAGGTTTAGCCTCGCTTCAGGGATGACATCAACCAGCGGGGGCAACACTTGCAGAGCCCCTTCACCTCCCCGGAACACCACCTAGAGAGAGAAAATCTCTGTGACCGGAGCAATATGCCTGTGCCCATTGGGAGTGGCTGAGGAGTTGCCTAGAACCCCCCTCTCCCACAAAATAAACAAAAACAAACCCCACCTCTGCGAGCAACCGATCATCTGCTGAACTGACTACTGCCCGGCTGCCACCCGGCTGCTGCCCTGGCCGCCTCCCCTTCACAGCCCTGAACGACATCGCTCTTTCTTTGCCACCTCCTCAAAAACTACCTCGCTCCTCCTCCCTCTGGCTCTGCCTGTCTTTATCTTACAGACCCCTGGCTGCTACATTTACTACACACAGCTGTCCACCCGGCACAGCCACCAGCACACAAGGGTCCAGAGTCAGGCCAAAACCCCCAGACCTGGGACCAGGAGTGTGGGCCCTCAGTGAGGGTTTCAGAGTTCAATGTGGTTTTGAAATCTACCTCCTGTGTAAATCATCGAGCTCATAAGCAGCAGAGAGGTAGCCCGGCTGTGGCTGAAGCTCACTCCTCTCCTCTTCCTCCCTACTGCGAGCCCTGGGTGCGGGGGCTCTGGCTGAGGACGCCCTTTCTAGATGCATACCCGGCATGGCGGTGGGGTTACCTAGCCTCGCAGACCCTGCGTGCTCAGCTCTCTGGGCAACGAGAATGCCGTCCTCTCGGGGTCACGAGGAGGATTCAGTGAGCTGACATGGTGGGTGGTTTGGCTTTGTTCTCTCAGCAAACACTCTGGCACTGCTCTGTGGCTGGCACTGCTCTGTGGCTGGCACCGCCGTGGACCGTGGGACAACGGCAGGAAAATGGCTCCCCCAGCTGCCAACCTGGAGCCCCCAACAGCCCACAAAGGCATATGCCCTCAGGTGGTGACTCATGCCAGGGTTTTGAATCTCTAGGTTGAGCAAGACGAAGACTAGGTGGAAACGCCGCATGAACCAAACAGAAGCCGAGTCCAGGACTGACCGTTGCTTCACTCCCGGCTGTGTTCGGCCGCAGCAAGCAGCTGCTCCACGGATGCCGACCCACAGCCACCCTACAGGGCAGGGGCGAACTGCCCCGGGAGTTCACAAGATGATAACCCTTGACCAGAGTGGAAAGCCCCGTCTTTCTCCCATGGAGTGGCTGGGGTCTCAAACTGCTGATCTTGTAGGTGGCAGCCCATTAGATGTGGTGTAGCCCATTAACCATTCCTGTCCCAGGGCTGCGCGTTCTGCAAATAAGTGACGGAAATCAAGCCCTTGAGCATGCACTACCTCATAGCTCATTCTGCACGGGCTCTTCTTCATTCGAGATGTGCCCTTTCTGCCACAACACCATCCTTCACCTGTCCCCCTGACCTCAGGAGCAATCTGTCCATCTGCATCTTGCTTCTTCAGGAACCATGGCCTCTCCCAGCCTCCGAAGCTCTAAGCCCTCTTTGTCACATCTAAATGCACACACGGGTTTTGGCTCTCTTGGAAAATGTCCCACTCGGCCCCGCTACTCCCTCTGAGTTTCTGCCGCTGAGTTAGCTCCGACTCACAGGGACCAGAAGTTGGACCAGAGGAAACACCACCCTAGTGTGTACACACACACACTCTCTCTCTCTCTCTCTCTCACTCTCTCTATCAGGAGTCACAAATGAACCCCTCTGGCCAAGATTCCATGGGCTTCTTCAGTCCTCTTGTTCCGTGCCATGTCTGCAGCCTTGATACTGAGGCCAGTGGACAGCAGTGAGACCACTGCCGCTTACCATGCACTGCCTGGGTGATGCACATTACCTCATGCACCTCTCAGAGAAACATGCTGGGGCCTGGGGTTCCCCCTATTCTGTAATTTGAGTTTAAATTCTGGGAACCCTGGTTTACAAAAGGCCATAGATGCCAGGGACAGCCCAAAATCCAGTTGCAAGGTTGCCAAATAGATTAAGCCTCATGGAATTTTTTAATCAATTTATTGGGGCTCATACAATTCATAACAATATATAGATCAATTGTGTAAAGCACATCTATACATTTGTTGCCCTCATCATTCCCAAAATTCGCTTTCCTCTTGGGTTCCCAGAATCAGCTCATTTTCCTTTTTTCCCCCTCCCCCTCCCTTCCTCCTCCCCTCTACCCCATGCACCCTTGATAATTTATAAATTATTATTGTAGCCTCATGGAATTCTTTCTGAACACTAAGCCAGGATGTTTCAAACTCAGGCAGAGTCCCTGGGAAAGTAGATTACCTCCACCTCCCTCTAGCTAGTCTAAGAAGGGGCAGTCCCTCTTTCGGGGGCTTGCCTGGGGATGTCCTTGATGGAGACAGTTCAGAGGGTTGAACAGGCACGAGCGATGGCCAAACAGTCCAACTCTAACTGCAGTGGTCAAAAGGTTCTGGACCAATCTTGTAAGCCTTTCTATCAACAATGCATGTGTCCCAATCACAGACCCATTCCTGCTTCTGTAGACCCTCCTTTACCTGTGATGTATTGATCTGACATCAATCATGAATTTGTGACAGTTCTTTGTCCATTTCCTCTTTATTTGGTGTCCCTCAGATGCCATTCTGACCTCATGTTAATAACCTCCCACCATCCCCTCATCCAGACGGCATGTGTCTGTGTGTTTGTCTCTTTGAAGCCTTAACCCAGGGGTCCTCAAACTTTTTAAACAGGGGGCCAGTTCACTGTCCCTCAGACCCGTTGGAGGGATGGACTATAGTTTAAAAAAAACTATGAACAAATTCGTATGCTGTACACTGCACATATCTTATTTTGAAGTAAAAAAACAAGCAGGCCAAAAACACCCAGCGGGCCGGATAAATGTCTTCCGCGGGCCTCATGTGGCCCGCGGGCCTTCGTTTGAGGACACCTGCCTTAATCACTGTTCTCCTCAATTACAATTGAGATGGTTTTCTCTTTTGTGTCCTAGAACAATTCCAAACTTGAGAACATGGAGTCTCGGCAAGGTTACTTCACCTGCTCAGCCTTACCAGGTATGCAGGCTGTCGCGAGAGTCCGGCCTCACGTTTACTTTCAAAGTTGATGCTCTGTGTGTGGTGATGCCTAACCTCTGTGCCTCTCTGCCTGTGATGATAACCCCATTTGGACATGGGTTTTCTTTGCTGTGTTAATGCGGTAGGGTTGGGTCCATCCCTCTGGAGACAAGGCAGTGGATGGAGAAGCAGAGATGGGAGAAGGGAGGTCAAGCCACCTGGAGAGCTCCATGGAGCCAGGAAGCAGGAACCAAAGAGTCCAGAACTTCCCACAGAGCCAACGCAGCAAAAGCAAGCCTTCACCAGGCTGGTGCTTTGCACTCAGACTTTTAGTCGTGTAAACTGTGGGAAAATAAATGTTTGTTTGTTCAGGCTAAATAAATACATAAAGCTGATGCTCTACCAAGGGCTGTAGTGTCCTGATGGTTTACGGTTTTTGTTTCGTGGAATTATAAAAATAATATGTCCATTGGAGGTACAAAGTTAACTCTCTCTCACTACCATCGAGTCAGAGCTGACTCAGCAACCCCTGTGGGTTTCCCAGACGGTAACTGTTGATGAAGTAGAAAGCCCAGTCTCAGTCCTGAGGAGCTCCTGGGGGTTTTGAACTGCCGGCCACGTGTAACCACAGTATTACAAAAGGAAAATGTCCACAAGGAAGGGTTAAATTATGCTCCCTGAAGTATGTGTGGTCAATCCTAACTCCTCTCCTGAGCGTCTCATCCCATGGGGAGTGTGACTGTGTTGTTTCTGAGGCAGGACCTTGGAGGCTGTGTCCTGAGTCAATCATTCACACAAGGTCCCAGGAGCAGAGGAAGGGAGTAAAGATGGCAGAGAAGGGGTGCCCTGTCACATGAAGACCAGCGAGGAGCCCAGAAATGCAAGCTCCATAGCCATGGGGCTCCCTGCTCTCAGCCCCATCTGCTGGGGAGCCCCACCCCCAGCCTCCACTCCAGCCCCTTACTCACCAGATTGTGCTTAATGAGTTCTTTGGCAAATTCAAAGGAGGAAGAGGCGTTGTCCATCAAGCTTTTGAGTTCTGCCTGAAATTGAGAGACGGGTCTAGGAAAAGGGTGGCTGCATGGTTTTTAGGCCACAGAGCTGAGCAATGCTCGGTAGTTTCAGACAATTTAACAGGATAGTCATTCCACCACCATGACCCAGACAAACCCAAACTCACTGCCATTGAGGGAGTCCCACAAAGCGGCCCTCTAGAACAGGGTGGAGCTGCCCCTGTGGGTTTTGGAAGCTTTCATTTTTGGGGAGTAAAAAACCTCACCTATCTCTTGCCAAATGGCTGGTGGTTCTGAACTGCTGACCTTGCAGTTAGCAACCCATTGCATAACTACTATGCCACCAGGGCTCCTGGACCATCACAACAGACCAGATAATAGACAAATCCAACTATAGGTCACCAGAGGTATGTTTGAAATATAAGGTTGTAAAGAGTCTGAAAGTGAGTAAAAACACAAACCTAAAGAAAACTGTTATCTATGGAGACCCAAAGCCCATCTGTATACAATTGGACATCCCCTCACAGAAGGGTCACAAGGAAGGGACAAGCCAGCCAGGTGAAACATGCAACATTCCTCTAGTTCTTTAATGCTTCCTGTCCACCACACACTATCATGACCCCAAGTCTACCTTTCAAATCCGGCTACACCAGAGCATGTACACTGGTACAGATAAGAGCTCTCACCACACGGAACCCACGACAGATAAACCCCTTAGGACCAATATGAGAGTAATGATACCATGAAGGTATGGGAAAAGTAGGGGGATAGGCGGGAGAAAGGGGGAACCGATCACAATGATTGATGTATAACATCCCCCACTGGGGGGTGTGTCAAACAACAGAAGTGTGGTTGAAGGGAGACAGAGGATGGTGTAAAATATGAACATTAAAATAATTTATAAATTATCAAGAGTCTAAGAGGGTAGGAGGATGGGGGAGGGAGGGGAAGAAATAGGAACTGATACCAAGGGCTCAAGTAGAAAGAAAATGTTTTGGAAATGATGAAGGCAACATATGTACAAATGTGCTTGTATAACTGCTGTATGGATTGTTGTAAGAGCTGTAAGAGCCCCCAATAAAATGATTTATTAAAAACAAAAAATGAAAACCAGTATCACTTCATTAATAACCTATAGAATCCGTTTAAGACAAAAGTACAAACTGGGAAACAGAGGATCACTTTATATTGATAAAAGGTTCAATTCACGGGTAAGATTTAGCAGGTTAAAATTACATGCTTGCAAAATCATGCCTTAAAAATATATAAAGTAAAAATGGAAGGATCGGGAAGAAAGAGACAAATTCACAATTAGAGTGGGAGATTTAAACACACCTGTCTCAGTAACTGGTGTTCAGCAAATATAATGGAAGGAACATAGAGAAGCTGTCACACAGCAGAAAAAATGAACTTGCACTGGTTGACATGTAAGTTTCGCTCACTATCCAAAAGCAGAGAAAGGATTCCTACAAAATCTTTCATAAGCTGAAATGTAAAGTGAAGTAGCAATGACCATTAATGTATATGGGGCATTTTCTGAGGGTTCCCAAACTCAAAGCAGCCCAGCAAATCACACAAAGAACACTGACACACAGCACCCAGACACTGGCCGGAGCTCTGGTGTGGTGACTACGCTGAGTGGCGTTCCCAGAGACGGAGCTTGGCGACACCATTTCTGCACTGTCTCTGTAAGGGATCACCTCAAAGCATCACCGATGCTGCTGCTTTTGCCTTTTGCCTATTTTGTGAAAGAAAAAAACCGGCTTTCGATTTCTTTCAGTTAATGAAAACAGGTTCTTCTGTAAAAGCAAAAGTGCTATACAACAAAATGTTTAAAAGTAAGGATACTTGTATATGAAATTTTGCACCAGTATCTTCAAAGTACATATTCCATTCAAGGAGACACGCCAAGCTTAGAAAAACTCACTGTATACTGGAGCCACAACTCAAGTCCCAAGACATTTGACCAAATTATTCAAAACATGCTCTCAGACTATAATGCACTGATACTACAAATCACATGCAAAAAGGTCACTGAAAAATTCTCCACCTCAGGGAGGCTTAGGACGGCTACCCCAAAATATGAGCTCACATTGACCATGAGATGTCAGCGTAGATTCTCCAAGCTGAAATGCAGCTAAATCAGGAGCAGGAGGTAGAGCTTTGGACTCTAGAACCTTAAATGGTATGTGAGAAGAGACGGCTGAGATTTTATATGCTAAGCACCCACCTTCAAGCATATAAAAAAAAATCACAGCAAATCACATGACACAAAACAGAAGGAACTAATAGAGATAAGTACAAAAAGTTATTTTAAAAACAATTATGAGAGTATTAAGAAAACCTAAAGTTGTTTCGAAAACCACCCTCCCTCCACAAAAGAAAATGTAAACATAATGTTCAAACTTTGAAAAAAATACAACTTTCCAAAAATGATACAAGGAAAAGTAGAAAACATGAATTAGTCTTATGACTGTTGAATACCTTTCATTGGCCATTTAAAACCTGCCCCGCCTAGATGTCTTCATCAGTGCATCCTGCCAAACACTGAAGAATGAACACAGTCTTACCCAGCCGTACACAGCCTCCTCAAGACAACAGGCACACGTGGGATCCTCCCCAGCTCATTCACTGAGGCGAGGTCAACTAGCGTGCTAAAATCTACTATGAGCAACGCCCCCAAAAACAAAATTATACAATAATCAACACAGTAAGTGTTGTTGCAGAATTCTTAAACACTGAGTGAAGGGAGTCCTGTGACACATACAAAGTAAAGAACACAGCACGGCCAAGCTGGGCTTGTAGCCTAGTAGGTTAAGCATTGGGAATGGGTGGTTGAAAGCTAGCAGATACTGTGCTGGAGAAGGATGAAGCTGCCTGCTGCCATGAAGATTCACCATCTGGGAAGCCTTATGGGGCAGTTCTACTCTGCCCTACGGGGTCGCTCTGTGGTGAAATCAATTCAATGGCAGTGGGTCCTGGGTTAAGGTGGGTTTCAAGGCAAGTTGATTTAACAGAGGAAAACATCTCAATATGACTTGCCACCATTACAGGTGCTGAGAGAAATTTATGTGACTGTCCTACAGGGTCTCTATGAGTCGTTCACTTGATGCGAGTGAGTTTGAGTTTTTGATCTCAACAGATGCAAAGTGCACGGTGTTGATAAAATTTTACAGCTAAGCATTATTAACACAAGAAAGACTAAGCAAATTAACACAAGAAGCAAACTATCTGATAAAGGGCATTTTAATAAAACCTCTGTTAAATTAAATTTGACTACCTCCGCTGCTTTGCCGTTGTAAAGGCGAAAATGATTACAGGCCTTCAGGTTGAGGGCGATGGTGCTATCAGGAATCTGTTGCAGGTAAACGGCCAGGACTTCCTGAGACACGTCGTAGTAGTCCAGCTTGTAGTAGCAGAGGGCCACGTAGACATTGAGGGCAAGGTACACCCTATGAAATGAAAGGAAGAAGGCTGAGAGCTCGAGCCCACTGCGAGAAATGTCAAAATACAATGCCTTCTGTGTGTGGCTCAGGCCAGCGCCCCACCCCGTAAGATTTTACTGTTGTAAAATGAAGAGTAGAAGAATGAGAACCTTCATCTCCTACCTACTGGTGATGCACACTAACTAAGCCCTGCTGGGCCCGAGCCGAGCCTAGCACAAATTGGCACAGTCCACACGGAGGATAGCCAGGCAGGCCATGGGGGGCTTGGTAACCAGGAGGCTGGAGAGGTATGTGTATGGCCGGATCAATACCAGGCTGGCTTCTAGCAACAAGTGACCTTGATTCTCCCCCACCC